TCATGTGTCCCTGATAACATTTTAATGATAACAAATGCAACATTTAGCATAATTTTCACATTTTATAGGATTGAAGCTAAAATACACAAATTGTGTGTCTAGGGTCTCATTATTTTTGTAAAAAATATTTTTAATTTGGAAGTTTAAACTTTGACAAGCATCATACATCAGAAATTGAAAGGACTCCATAAGAAGGACAATATGCGAGAAACAAAACCAAAAATTTTAATTGAAGGCAATGTATCCCTTCAAATGTGTTACAGTCTTCAACCCCATCACACCTTGTCACATTAATATTTTTGGAAAAATACAGGGAAGACAATTAAGAATGAAAACATTTCTTGCTGATCACTATCTGACATGTTAAGGACTAAAACAATAAAAGTGGACATATTACATCAAAAATTCTAGTTATAAGAGAAATATTATGATTTTGATAGTTGTCATGATTTTGGTAAGTATATATTTACTGAAACCATGACTATTTTATATATATATTTTTTTATTAAAATGTATTAATAAATAAAGTAAATAACTCAACACTGTCACAAGTTTACAACTCCGTAACAATGAGAAATGCATATATTTGTGACGGGGTTGTGGTTTTTCACTCAAAATGGCCACTGCTCCTCATGTTGTGTAGGAGAGTAGATCATATATGGCAGCAATAAAATAAGTAGATTGTGTATACTTATTAAAATAAAATGTTGAAAAATAATAATTTTCCATCTTAATTTTGTGCGACGGGGTTGAGATGTTAAGCTGGGCAGTACCCTCCCTGACTATAATATGCCTCACAAATATGAATAAAAAGTATGATACTGCTAACTATTTTCTGCATCCCCATTAAAGAGACCTGAATGATGTCATTTCTGGTGAATGATGTCACATAAGTGTGGAGACTAAATTATTATGGGCATAGAATGGTTAGTGTGATAGGGTTGAGTGCAGGGACATAACTTTAAAGTCTGTTTTTTTATCAAATATCTTGCTTTTGTTTTTAGAAAAATATTTTTTCACAAGAAAGGAACATAAATAAATGCTTACATTATTGCCAAAAATCACAGACACTGTGCACATTTTGTTAATACTTTTCTAAGTAAAACTCAGTGAAGTGCCTCAGGGACATGACAGAATGCTTGGTTTAAGATAGATATAAGACATTATTTAAAAATATTAAATTGAATAATTATGTTTATTCGTTAATAATGGGCACACCAAAGTATTGTGAAAAGCTTCTAAAAATTCAATTTGGTGAACCACCAAAGAGAGAAACTCTGGGGGACTGAAATATTAATTTTAATTTATTTATTGTTTGTTTGTTTGTTTGTCCTGACAAACTTCCTTTGAATTTCAAATTCAGGAATTTAATTGGAATTTAAATGGCATTCTCAATTTAATCCTAATTTGTGCACAACTCTGCCGCTATGTTTTACATGTAATGAATATTTGTTAAATGGACATTTCACTCAAAAATGAACATTCTGTCACCACTTTGTGTGATATTCATTCTTCAGTGGACTGCATACGTGTAGCATGAATGCATACCTGAAGACCTAAAAATTTATTTAGCACATTTTAATGTAATGAAATCAGGCTGACCCAGTCATATAAATGTATAACTTAATACTTGCATAACATGTAATTTTCTTAATTTACTTGAATACATTTAAATGTTACCATATGAAACCGTTGATGTTACCTGATGTCTTTTTTTATTAGTAGATTATCCAAGCTGATTTGTCTTGTACATTGAAAGTGGAGGGAGACCAGGTTTTGTCAAGCTCCAAAAAAGACATAAAAGCACAATAAAAGTAGTTATTATGTGTGACCTATGTGCTATATTTCAATTCTTCTGAAGTCATACAATAGATTTTTGTGTGGAACAGAAATGGAAAGTTATTATTCACTGAAAATGTTGTCTTAAATCTTGCCGGACAGCTGTGGTCACTGAAAGAAAGAAAGAAAGAAAGAAAGAAAAACAGTAACCAATGTTTAGCGCAACAGAGACAGAGAGAAAAAGAAAGGGAGGGAGAGAAGGGAAAGAGACGGCATGTATGTGAGTGTTTATTATGTGTGTTCATCCTTGTGTGTAACCTTGACATCTCATGTCATTATAGTTATGTCTGTACTCTGTGTCCAATCAACTACTTGGTTGTGGTGCAGTTGTCTTTTCACAAACACACACACACACACACACACAAAAAAACTTGTCCCTGCTCAGTCTTAACTTCATACTCCCTGTCTCTACCTTCATCAGTAATAATAACACACACAGACACTCTCTCTGTGTTATATTTAGGCGTCATTAACATCCCTGTTAAAATGTGAGCTCAGATCACAAGAGCCGATAAGACCGAGAACCATAATACCTTAAACATCTACATTTCGTCAGTATCGCAACACTGTCACTGACATCGATGTGATGAACATTTGGTGATCATTTACTCAAACTCATGTCGTTCCAAACCGTTCTCTCTACTGTGGAACACAAAAGAAGGTATTTCAAAGAATGTTTCAGTTGTACAGTGAAAGTGGCAGTGCTGAATGAAGTACACAAATCAAGTACTTGAGTACAGATATGTGTAATAAAATAATACTCCAGTAAGGTATGAAGAACTCCTTTTCAATTTTACTTGAGTGAAAGCACTAAAGTAATTGATTTTTAATGTACACAAAAAAATTTATTTTGTAATTTTATATAGACTACTTATATAAATTAATTTTATATTATATATTTTATATAATCCTATTGCTCAAAATACCTGGGATTTTCTCAGAATAACCACTATATGGAGTCAAGATATATTTGACAAGAGTGATGTAGAAGTATTCACCGTGAAGCTTACACTGTACTGGTGCATCTCAATAAATTAGAATTCTTTTAGGTTCTTTTAATTGTGATGATTTTGGCTCACATTTAACAAAAACATTGAATTTATTACATACACGAGTTTCACAATTTGAGTTGAATTACTGAAATAAATGAACTTTTCCACGACATTCTAATTTATTGAGATGCACCTGTATGTACCTGAGAGAAAATGGATTTTACCATAAGTGATCTAATTTTCAGCAGTAAGAAAAAAAGTGTTTTAAAGCTTGTTCTTTTGCAGAACATCACAGATATATATGATATGAGAATAAGGCCTGTTGTTAGGGATTACATGTTATTTAAGGAATATATCATTATATTTTCATAATGATATATTTTTTTTCAAACCTGGTCTGTGTAGTTACCATGTTCTGAACATCACATCATTAGTTTTTCCATGAAGTGTAATATATATAGGTGGATGAATAAAAACATTTGGACATTATATTTAAAAATTATTTCACCTTAGCGTCAGTTACAGTAGCTAATTAGCTAGACAGTTAGCATCACCTTTTAGTATTTCAAAAATGTAATTTGGGTGTTGTTAAGTTATGTCTAATCTACAGTAATGAGGAAGACTAAAGAACTTGTCAGTGGAAATAGTAAGTGAGAGCAAACCAACACCATTTGAGTCCCAGGTGAGAGTGTCTGTGATGTGACTGCTCTGGCTCAGAACCTCAGTGCAACTGTATTTTTAGCCCAAGTGACCTTCTTAAACACGGCGTTGCATGAGGTCAAAGCAATAGCTGCCATAACGCTGATAGTGAGAGACACTCAAACTCTGCGATTGATATAGCTTCTTTGGAAAGTGCCACAGCTGGCAGGTCAGTAGTGTAAGTGAAGCAACCAAAACACCTCCAAAGAATGCCAGGACTCCCATACAGCATTAGAGTGATTTTACCCATATCCAGGCCTAACTGGAATCGGCACAGAAATCAGCAGATTTCTGGAAAATTCCAGTGTTGTAATTTACAAAAGCTCCCACACATGTTTGTTTATTCATTATTAAATTGTAAATTAAGAAAATATTATTAAAAACCTCTTTTCTTGATTTTTTAATGAAAAAAACACTAGGGAACAACAAAGTTTTATACTGTAGATGTTTTTTTTATAAGTCTCTCATACCAATGCAGACATGTTTTCAAGTTGAAGTGAACGGTCATTTTCCCGTTATTTATTTCCTGCCATTATTATTAGATGGCCATCTTTCCAGTCTTCCATTCATCTACGGGTTGATCTTTCGTTTGTCATCAAACACACAGATCGTTAGACTCTCAGAAATGTCATGAACCAGCAGCACCCAACCGTGTGTATGTAAGGAAAAAACAGGTGGAAACAGAGAGAGAAAATAGAAAACAAAGGTGACAATGAGATTTCTTTTTTTTTTTTTATGTAGGTCTGGATGTCACAATGTATTGCCTGAGTTCTCTATTTCTTTATTTGAAAACAGAGAGAGAAAATAGAAAACAAAGGTGACAATGAGATTTTTTTTTAAAAATTTTATGTAGGTCTGGACTGTCACAATGTATTGCCTGAGTTCTCTATTTCTTTATTTTACTCTTTCTTTTACAAAAAGTTATTATAATGTACAACATTTGACCTTCTTTTTGACAGCCAAGAAAATATCAGAAATATGCCCTTGTCCTAATCGCAGTCATTTCGTTCACTTTTCCTTTCTCACTGCGTGTGGTGACAGAATTGGCTGCCATCATCAGAACAGAATAATCATGCTGAATGACTCTCTTTAACTCAGAATCTTTCCATCGTTCCTCAAGGAATGAAGCAGTTATTACCCTTCATTAGAGACCTGGCACTTGCATTAGGATAATATCACCTCTACTTACCACCATCATTTGACCAATGACACACACAGGCACATGCACCTGCTTTCAGTTGTGCATTTTCATAGGGAATGTTATCACTGAGTGCTGGACCTGCACATTTCTAATTTAGCAGCCTCACACTTGACAACCGATGTAAAACTTCAGAGAAATTCAGCTACAACCTACACTATTTTTATTCTGCTCGATCAACTGAATGTACACAAGAGCGCCCATTACTGCTACATTTCTGTTTGTTTGTTTGGATGAAAGCTGGTATGCATGTTCTGTTTAAATGACTGATAATGAACCTCATATTTTTCTTCACAATTGACATTACAGTGGAAGGACAAGTTCCATGTTTGTAGCATATTTGTTTTCTTCTGCAGATATAACAGAGAGCAGAAAATTTATGTCAGTGTTTTGTCATGCCATTAGTTTATGCTGTGTTTTTATTTTTAGGTTTGATGGAGGGAGGAGTGACGTTTTCCCAATGGAGTTTTTCCTTCCTCCACAAAGGATGTGCCTAATCTGCTCAGACGAAGCATCTGGATGTCACTATGGAGCCCTCACTTGTGGAAGTTGCAAAGTGTTCTTTAAGAGAGCTGCTGAAGGTAACATAAACACACTCATTATAACAAAAGTCTGGCTTCGGATTGTATTAACGGCTAAATATATTCACCATATGTAAAGAGGACATTTATCACTTTAATTAGAACTTTAAATTGCAGCTATAAACTGTCATTAAAGCTGCATTAAAAGCTGCCATAGAATGAATATACTTCTGACCATTTGTCCAGTACAGCTTTTATTGTTTTTAATCATATCACTTAAAATTGCAACAATTGGCACATCACACACGGGCATTCAGGAATTCAGTAAAAGAGAGAAAATAAAAAGAGAGCAAGTAGGCGACACTTTGTGTCTTATGTATACAGAAATTAGGGACACATTCTTTCCCTATTGTGCAATCCAAAAGGAAATAGAAATCTAATACTTACAAGCCTAGAATTTACCGACTTGGTTGTGAGGTGTGTGAAGACTCGCCATAAACAATTAGTAATCAGTAGCTGCTTTTCCACTGTGGGGCCAGTGCGAGCCAGTGCTTTAAATGGGCCGGGCGGGGCCAATAGCCTCAGACCTGTAGCTCCGAGCACCGAGCCACACCCTTTACATGCCTCTTTGGAATAACGTCATGCAACCCCATCATTTCACCAACAAAGAGAAGTTATCAGAATAAATCTGGAACTATAGCGAGATCACAAAACGAACATGATAAAAGCGGCCATTTGTTTGCATTTTTTGTTGTTTACTTAAAGATTTAAATCCAAAAGCGTCAGTGTTTTACCAGTTTTACAATAATAAGTGATACATTGATCATAATAAATTAATTTGTCAGGATTGAAAATTAGTCACACAGAAATAAAGTGGTATTTACTGTTATTTCACAAAAGAATGAGGACATACATATTCAGTTGTGTCTGTTTCTGTTTATTTGTAGTCACCGTATACATCACATTTAGAAAGAATGTTCATTTCTATAATTTTTCCATCTCAAACAGAGGTTATTTCAAACACTCGCTGCTGTCGAAAAGTGAGTTTTGTGCTAAATTTATTTTAAAAGTCTTTAATGTTGCTGTTAGCTGTTAACTATATGAAATCATTCGTGGTGCTGATGCTCTCCAGATGTGGAGAAATTCCACCTTTGTTCATAACCACTCCTCAAGCCTGAGCTGGCCCACTTTGGCCCAAGGTTTTCGGCGGGCCAAAAAACCCTGGCCGTTGACCCCCGAGGAAGCCCCGGAAGTGACAGTGGAAACGTGACTGGCCCTGGCACACACTAGGACGCTTGCTTTTGGCCCGACAGTGGAAACGCAGTGAGACCCAAACGCTTAGCTCAAAGTGACCTAAGAATAGATTTCAGCATTATTCATGTCACCTATTCATTTTCACATTCCCATTCCAAACTTGTATGACTTTTTTCTTGCATGGAACACAAAAGGAGTTATTAGGCAGAATGTGCAAGATGCTCTGTTCCCTATGATAAAAGTGGGTGGGGACCAGGCCAGGGACAGGTTCCATTGGTCATTTCCAATGTATGAAAAAAGCAGCCTGGACATTCTACTTGATATCGTCATGGAAAACTTGTGTTCCGTGGAAATGAAGAAAACGTTTTGTGTTTGTAGGTTTGTGTTCCGTAGATAAAGTTCTCTATCACAGTGATTCCCAACCCTGGTCCTGGAGGCACCCCAACACTGCACGTTTTGCATGTCTCCTTAATCAAACACACCTGATTCAGGTCATCAGCTCATTAGTAGAGACTTCAAGACCTGAAATTGGTGTGTCAGAGAAAGGAGACATGCAGAATGTGCAGTGTTGGGGTGCCTCCAGGACCAGGGTTGGGAACCACTGCTCTATCATTTAAAAGATAAAACAAGAAAAGTAATATTTTTTATTCAGCAAGGATGCATTAAATAAAAAAAAGAAAATCTTTAACACACAAAAATATTAAGCAGCACAACTGATTTTGACATGGATAATAATAAGAAATGGAAGTGGAAATTGCTAACGCTTGTGATAAGATGCACCTGTAATGAAAGTTCCCACATGATGATCCGTAGTCCCAATTCTTTTAAAATGAACTATTTGTGAAAGTATTATTGATTAATTCACTGAGGAAGTCCTAGTGCCAAAACAATTGGTGATCCATTTGTGCTTTTTGCAAAATAAAAAAAATCCAAAAATCATTAAGAAGCATACAAGCGAGTGTGGATCCTGCTTTTCTTCATTTGAAGTCATTACTGTACTTTTGATCAAATAAATGCAGCATAATAAAATCAAATAAAAATCAAATAAAGTGATAAAAATCAAATAAATCCCAAACTTTTGAATGGTAGTGTATGTTAGGTTTGCAACACGAGGATCAGTAAATGATGACAAACTATGTGGTGAGGGCAGACTGAATATACACACTATATACAAATATATGCACTATATACAGTATATACGCTATAAATATATAAGAAATGACATAAGTGATAATTTTAGGATGTGTATAGGCTAAGTATGCAAAGTAAGCCCATGTTCATCCTCCAAATAAATGTTCAAATTGAAAATATAATACACACTTCTGATAAAGTCATGCCCTTTTTGCTTTGAACACCCACAGATTGTGGAACAAAACAATTTATCAAGGTTAAAGGGTTAGTTCACCCAAAAATGAAAATTCTGTCATTAATTACTCACCCTCATGTCATTCTAAACCCGTAAGACCTCCGTTCATCCGTAAGCTCTCTGACCCTCCCATAGACAGCAAGGGTCCTTACACGGTCAACGTCCAGAAACGTAGCAAGGAGATCGGTAAAATAATTCATGTGACATCAGGGGTTCAACCGTAATTTTACGAAGCTACGAGAATACTTTTTGTGCACAAAAGAAAAAAGAAAGAACAACTTTATTCAACAATTCGTCTCCTCCGCATCACCCTAGTGCCATTTTGGAGAGTATCCACTGAACACAACAGCGTATGCTATTCTGTGTCAGCTGCGCCACGCGGATACGTTTTCTACGTTGTTTGTGCTTTGATTTGAACGTAAAACAACGTATCCGTGTGGTGCGGCTGACACAGAACAACATACGCTGTTTGCGTTCAGTGGATACTCTCCAAAATGGCGCTGCGGTGATACGGAGGAGACGAATTGTTGAATAAAGTATTTTTCTTTTTTTTTTCTTTTGTGCACAAAAAGTATTCTCGTAGCTTCGTAAAATTACGGTTGAACCCCTGATGTCACATGGATTATTTTACCGATCTCCTTGCTACGTTTCTGGACCTTGATTGTGTAAGGAACCTTGCTGCCCATGGGAGGGTCAGAGAGCTCTTAGAATTCATCAAAAATATCTTAATTTGTGTTCCGAAGATGAACGGAGGTCTTACGGGTTTGGAACGACATGAGGGTGAGTAATTAATGACAGAATTTTCTTTTTTGGGTGAACTATCCCTTTAAGAGGAGTTAAAAGATCTTGCCCCACAGCCAACAATGAACTTCAGTTTAATCAAATAGAGAAATAACACACTATTATACCGTTTCAACAGTCATTAATGGAGACAGAGAGAGACATGGAACAATATACTAAGAGGTGCAGTCTTATTGTTGTTTATGAATAATTGTAGACAGACAGATCTGTAAGGTTAGAGATGTCTTTCTGAATTTGTTTAAAGGTGACACAATTTTTTGCACAACTTAGCATCACCACTTTCTAAGAAGAGTTGCTCTTTTCAAATAGGTTTCCTGGACGCTGACGAAACATTTATAAATAACACTCCTCACCTTTGTAAAAAGATTATTTGCAAGATCTAATTAAAGTTTGTACATTTGTTTGGCATTACTTCAGATTTGATTGTCATGGTGTGTTACCCAGTATTTTTGTAAATGATTAAGTATGTTAAATTTTGATTCTTGTGGTAAAGTGAATTGCGTTGCTTTTGTGCTTGATTTACTGTTGATTCGATTTTACTTCTGTTTTATTCTCAGATCTTGTTGTAATTGTATGTAGGTCTGGCAGTGGATGTCTGTGACATCTCATTGTAATTTTATGTCAGACCTGACTGCAGTTGTGTAGGTTACTGCAGCAGTTTCTCTGTATTCCTGATTAAGACACAGACACACAGTTTTCATTTGGCTGTCCCCAGGTATCCAGAGTGAGGGCTACGACTGGCTTGTCACGTTGACAACTCCCTCTAATTGGAGCATTCTGCATGTGTGTGTGTGTGTGTGTGTGTGTTCTCCATTTTTATTCTGATCTACATTTTATTTTGGTGTAAAAACGATACATCCAGCTCTTACATCCAGATACAGAGCTTTACTTTGGCTGCCAACTGACTCAAAAGTTAAAACTTCTGAAAAACGTCTGTTTCTTCTTCTAGGGAAGCAGAAGTATCTCTGCGCTAGCAGGAATGACTGCACCATAGATAAACTGAGGAGGAAGAACTGTCCATCCTGCCGTCTGAGGAAGTGTTTCGAGGCTGGGATGACCCTGGGAGGTAAATTGTGTGCTCCCATATGTGCTCTACTCTGATGCGCTATATAGTGGCTAATAGTTCACCCAAAAATGTCATCATTTATGTACTCTCATGTAATTCCAAACAGGGTTATTATAGGTAACTAAAACCTGATTTTGTTTTTTTGATAATTAAAAAAATAAATATAATTTTCATATTAAAACAATTAATAAATATTTTTTTGATGTTGCTAAAAAGAACATTATTTTGTGTATTTGTGTGGCTGACTCTTAACTTTTATAAAGAATATCTCTTTGGATTTGAGACTTTAGTCTTTGCAACTTTACAGATCTTCTTTATGCACCAAGACCTTGTAACACTCCAAAGAGAAAGGAAAAATTGAAATCGCATCATATGACCCCTTTAAAATAATTTAATATAAAAAAATAAACTTATTTTATTTCACATAGTTACCAGTGAATGATTTTTCATTTAATTTAACTTGATGTACTAAAATAACTCAAATTAAAACTGAAATAAAAATGAATAAAAACATATATATACATTTTAAAAAGCAAAAACGAATAAAAATGACAAAAATCACTAAAACCTTACCAAAAACATTATTAATAAAAACTGTAGTAATATCTAAATTATACTAAAATAACTTTGGGTCTGAGTCTTTATAATTTTCCTTTTCTTTCTTCTGTGGAACAAGAAGAAAGTTTTAAGAATCCTCGCTCATGTCTTTTACATTTCAGTTCACTGTCTCTTCAGTCTTTTACAGTTCATTATGACCACTGAAATAAAGTATTGCACTTTTGTCCAGGTCATTTGAAGGCATACTATATTTTCTGTGTGCTTTGTGTGAGGAACAGGCCAAAACTTTAAATCACTATTCTTCTCTCTCCAGTGGGTAGAGAACTGCTGTGAATCATCCAGTAGTGAACTGAATCAGTCAAATTTGTGAACGAATCATTCAATTTGATTTGTGAACCTCACAGTCACGCAGATCAATCATGGAAAATAACTGACTCAAAAGAATAATTTGTTCACAAAATGACCTCAAATAACATTAGCAGAGAAGATGGACTTACATTTCAATAATGACATTGTTCGGTGAACTATTCTTTTACAGCCTAGGCATAGTGATGAGAGGTTTGCTGGCTCAATCACTGCAAGGAGCAAGCTATCTAACCCTAGGTTGTCCCTTTAAGTTATGGAAACAAATTCCACTGGTCCTGGTCATTTGGTAATACATAAAGGTTTATTTAATATGATATGTGATATGACAGATGACTTAAATTACATAAATCATTGTTATGACTTATACAGAAAGGAAATTTCAAAGATAATTTACATTTGAAGCTTTTGGTATTGATCAACCGTAAAAGTGCTCACCGTGGCAGATATTTGTATAAAGGACCAAAATGAACTTTTCACAACACCTGCCATTTGTGAGTGAATTGAGAAAAATGACTATACATATTCTCAAAGGCCATGAAACATTTTAGTCCCTATTACAAGAGAGTTATTAAGCTGTTTTTCTCTTGCATGTTATTGACAGACAATGCAAATGACTGTATTATATTTCCATTTTGGCACCTTACAGGAATAGTTCACCCAAAAATTCTGTCATCATTTACTCACCCTCAAGTTGTTCCAAACCTGTATGGATTTGTTATATGAGTTTCTGTTGAACATAAAAGATGATATTTTGAAGAATGTGGGTAACCAAGCAGTTGCTGGTCTTGGACTTCCATAGTATGGGAAGAAAAAATGCCATTGAAGTCAATGGGGACCAGAAACTGTTCTTCAAAATATCTTCTTTTGTGTTCAGCAGAAGAAAGAAATTCATTCAGAATTTTCATTTTTGGGTGAATTAATATGAGAAATATCCTGTGTATCCTACCACATGCAGTTCCAGGCAAATGTCAGAAGGTAAATTTTCCACTCAGGATGCACAAGTTGCAAAAGATTAATTTGGACATGGATTGTATTTCTTTGGTTTAAATCGCTCATGTGGCTTCCATCAGCATGAGTCAGGCAATCATTCTTAGACTTCCGCTTAAACCATGTGTTACATTGACGCCCCTAATAAAGTTGCCTGCCAGCTGAAGAGTAACTCACCAAAACCAATGTTTACAAGGATATGGCAATCGGAGAGTGCTGATTTTGGACCTTGTTTGTATATGAAGCTCTGAATCTTTAGATAAATTCAGTTGTCATGGTAATGCAGCTCTATGGCAGCTGAGCCATTTTAAAGACTGCTTTGAGAGAGAAAGAGAGAATGCATGTAGGGGGTGTCTTCAGATCATCTTTGGGGAACTTCTTTACTGAAGTAGTGCAGTCAGCTTTGCATTTCTCCATGATCTCTCCCTCTAGGACACTCACTGATGAATTATTGATAAATAATTAAGGGTTTATCTCTCTGGTCTACATTAAGAGGTCTCCCTCTCTTAAGGTCTTCCCAAACGGCAACCTTCCGGTCTCTCTCGTGAAACCAACACGGAAGTGACTGAAACTGCAATTCATCGACTGGCAGCTAAAGCCTGGCTCCAAAAGGGAGTCAGTCCCATAGACTCCCCATGTTAAAATGCCCAACTTTACAGCAGAAAAAAATATGTTTACAGCCTGGTACAAAGTGCCCTTCATGAGGAAGTGACTAAAACTGCAATTCATCGACTGGCTCCAAAAGGGAGTCAGTCCCATAGACCTCCCATGTTAAAATGTCCAACTTTACAGCAGAAAAAAATATGTTTACAGCCTGGTACAAAAAGTGGTTTTGGTCTATATAGCTAATTTTGCCTTCATGACAACTGTGAGGGGGGGTGAATTTTTTTATAACTCATCCGTTTAAATTATACTAAGCCTTAAAGTTCTACATAATTAAGGGCGTAGCCACTTGAGTGACAGGTGGATTGCTGCTGCTGTCACTGCCGTCGAGCTAGGTGGGCGTGGTTTCAGCAACCAGCTCCCGCCTCTTTGCCCATTTTCAATTATCCGAGAGTGACGCGCGGTGACGCGATGCCAAGATGGCGACGGCCGGCCGGCTCCGCCCACTTTGAGCTTCAAAAACGTTCTTCAGAAACCTATGGGTGACGTCACGGACACTTCGTCCATATTTTTATATAGTCTATGGGTCTCCCCCCCCCCCCCCC